ATACTTTATTTCACCTGTTTGTTCTCCGTTGCTTTGTCGTGATAACTGAACTCCATCTCCCTCACAGCATTCGGATGGTCAAAGTACTGAGACATTCCCATATGAACATCTGAAATGCCTGAACATCAGACTATGTTAAAACTTTGGTGCATAAAGGGAAAAATGACAATTACATTCATATCAGGGAACACTACAGAATGTTATAGGAATTGGCGGGGCAACAATTCAGTTTATTTGCATATGCCATAAACATTCCTCATGGTGTATAATACAATTATTTCTAAATTGCCAAGACATTGTTTTTAATTCTTGCCTAAATATGAAAAGTTTATATAAACTGTTATTAAATAAGAATGAAATTACATTAATAACAACATAATTTAAAAGAACTGAGGGTAAATACCACATATAAAAATTCTTAATGATGCAAAATTAAAAAATACACTAATCTGTGACAAATCTCCTGACAGTTGCGGATGCGAAATGGTAATTGAAAACTTGACTCTGAAGTTTCAGATAATTTAAAAATGATCTGACTAGTACAGTTGACATCTGCAATTTTTTTTTAAACATTCAGAATTCTGGGTTTTCATTTGTTATGAATCACTTCGAATACAAGAGCAAATCTCACCTGAACAGAGCAGAAGGGACGCCAGGAGAAAAACAAGTGATTTTGTCATCTCGGTGTCAAACGCTTCAATAATCAGTATAGACAACTGCCCGCTATTATGCCTGAATACTATATTTATATAGTAAATTAGGGAAGTTAGAGAGGAGATTCCAAATGCTGACACACAACATCTTGATATACAATAGTGTCGTCAGCTTATTTCACATGAAGAAGCTTTTTACACTCACACTTTATGCCCCTTGTGTGCTTGTTTGTTTCACATGTGCACTTGTAGCGTATTTCATATCTTAAAAGTATTTTTAAAAATTGTACTTATATTAAAAAAAGCCACTTAAGTGTATTTAAAGAGAAAACACTTTCATGACAGTTTCTTGAAATACATTTTAAAAAGTGCACTTTGTAATACTGTCAAATTAAAAGTTTTAAAGTAGATTTTAAATCATTGTTTTAATACTCTTAAAAAAGTACACTAAAGCACATGTGAAGAACTTGATTGTAATGTATTTTTCGATATTACACTTAAAGTTAAAGGGATAGTTCACCCAAAAATGAAAACTACCCCATGATTTACTCACCCTCAAGGCATCCTATTAAAAAATGTCCTGGCTCTTCCAAGCTTATAATGGCAGTGAATGGGTGTTATTTTTCAATAGTCCATAGTGCATCCATTCATTATAAAAAGTGTCCCACACAATCCATTTTTGTAAGAAAAATATCCATATTTAAAACTTTATAAAGTAAGAAGCATGGGGTATAAGCATTATGAATAAAAGTAAGCAGATGAACTGGGAAAAAAAAATTGGTGTAGAGTTTACTTTTAAACGGTTTTCAATCAGAAATTTCTAGTACATTTCACAAAGTATAACACATTGAATTAAACATGTTTTTTTTTTTTAAGTAGAAAGACTTTTGAAAAGCTACTCCAATAATATTTATTTACATTTTTAGTTACTGTTCTTTAAAGAAGAAAGAAAAGACCTTCCTGCATACACAATACCTTCACATCCTCTTTTCATAACACATAATTATTACATAAATATAATTCATTTATCACACAAACATTCAAATGGCATGGCAGTTGCTGAACCTCTTTTAATAAGCTATTAGACTCTCTTAATCAGATATTATGATAGTGATGAATATTGCTTAATCTGTAAGTCTTTCTTCTCACTATTCCACATTCCATTGCTAATTAAATTAAATTGGTATGCATGCATGATTTAAAGTAATTTAGTTTAGTGTCCATTGAACAGACACATCTTACCTTTTTTGTCTATGTTTTCAAATGTAAGATGTTATATACAAACCTATGTGGCTCCTAAACACTAGGAAACGTTAGTTTATGTATGTTAATATTCTCCTCAAAGCATGAATAATATGTAATCTGCACATAAACAAAGCAAAATGACTTTTATATTAGTGCATTCTCACCATAGAAACCCCAAATGCTGCCTCTGGGGATTTTAATCATGTTTCTGTTGTTTTTTCTTCTTCTTCTTCTTCTTGGTTTGTAGACAATTGGACCAAATATGCCCTGGAGAATTTATATTCCAGTGTCAAGAAAAAACAACATAAAGGTGGAACTTGCACAGTGCATGTAAACGTGGCATTGTTTTGAACAGCACCAGCGATCCCACGGAGACGTTCTACCAGTCTGTAATGAGCACTGTTTTGCTGGTTGAACAACAACAGCTCAGACCTTTCCAGGCAACTGATCAAACTAATTAGGGAGGCCAACTCTATTACCAGATTCACTTCAGACTCGCTGATGGCAGTGACACAGAAGAGGACGATGGCAAAACTAGAGTCACTGATGAACAATGGCTGCACTCAGCTCATTTAGTCAATTCCACCTGCAGCCGTCAGACAGTACAGCGCCTCTTTTTATACTGATTGGTGTAATGATCCTGAACATGTACCTGAATAAGAAAGATTCTGCACTAGTACTACCTTGTGCACTTATATGGTACCCCGACATTATTTATTTTTATTACACAACTCATTATGACATTCACTTATCAGTAAAATGTAACTCCGAGGATTCCATTATTAATATTATTGTAAAATTGTTGTTTGTCTCATTGCTAGGCCAATTATTTTGTGCATTGAAATGGAGCAATTTGTTCTTAGTGGTAGCTTTAAGATAACATATTTATACAGGTTTATTTAAATCAATGTTTCATAACTATTTGTCTATTAAATGTGATGTAGACTTATTTTAACTGTTCACCCAATGTGAAAATAGGCTGAAAATGTTCTCATCCTCAGACCTTCCAAGATGTAGAGGAGTTTGTTTCTTCATTGGAACAGGTTTAGACAAATTTAGCATTACATCACTTGTTCACCAGTGGATCCTCCACAGTGAATGGGTGCCGTCAGAATGGGAGTTCAAACAGCAGATAAAAACATCACAATAATCCACACGACTCCAGTCCATCAGTTAATGTCTTGTGAAGCAAAAAACTGCATGTTTGAAGATTACAAATCCATCATCAAGATGTTTTATCTTTGGATATTGCCTTTTCCAGTGAAAAAGTCACCATGTCTGATTCAGGAGAGAAATATGCACAGATCAACCACCGTTTACAAGTGAGTGAAAACAATCCAAACCACTCTAAACAAATAGCCCATGTTGGTGGATTTTGTTGTGAGGACAACAGGGCTTTTTCATTGGAGGAAGCATTATTATGGATTATGGACTATAAACCATATGAAGCAATGGTTTATAGTTGAAATGCCTAAATGTTGTTTGTTTTTCTTTCTTACAAACACAAATACTTTTTTTTTCTTTTCGCTTCACAAGACATTCATTTATGGACTGGAGTCGTGTGGATTATTGTGATGTTTTTACTGCAGAGGATCCATTGGTGAGCAAGTGATGTAATGCTAAATTTCTCCAAATTTGTTCCAATGAAGAAAGAAACTCATCTAAATCTTGAATCGCCTGTCGGTGAGTACATTTTAAGCAAAATTTCAATTTAATTTTTTCGGTTGAAAAATTCCTTAAATATACAAATGCACAGGACAATAAACAGATCAATAAATAAACTTTAATTCTGTACATAAAGTATATACACAGCAATACCACGATGCTGTACAATCAGCCAGCTTCATTTAGCTCAAATTAAAATATTATCAAAAGACCAGACAAGATGAGTTAAATTATATATATATAGACAATTTATAAAGAGACAGAGATTATGTATCATTGAAATGGACAATACATGATGCCTATTCTTTCATGATTAGACTCAAATAAATAATTTTTTAAAATAATTTTAAATCTTTACTGTAATCATCTTTTCAGTCATACCTGCTGTAATGGTGTAGCAATACATACATCTGCTTCATTTAGCTTTTTAATATTCAAAATTCCAAAATTAAAATGTTTCTTTTCTAAAATGTCTTAATTAAAGAGAATTAGATGACATGTAGCACATATATGTTTGAGACATCATTAAAAACAAAGATTTGTTCGTTGAAACCCTTGTCCACATGGTTTTATCACAGCCATGGAGTGTGTTTGACCAAGGAATGTCTATGTTCTGCTTTGAATTAGAAGCAACATCTGAAAACACTTAGAATCCTGACACAGCTGAGATCTGTTCATTCCTGCTCTGTTCTCAGATGCATGAGTGGAAAATAACATTTTGGGAGTGCAAGTTAAATTAAACTAATTGTCAAATTCTGAAGTATAGTGTTTATAACAACAACAAAAAAACCTGCACATTTACTGGAAAGAATGGCTGAAAAAAAAAAGAACATTCATTACATAGCATTAGACAGGTATTGGATTTTATGGAAATATGTGAAGCATTAAATATGTTGTCTTTACAATTAAGATATTTCAAAACAATGTGAGTTTTGATGCTATAGCGAATAGTTGATAGTGGAAAGTTCTGTGGTTTATGACCCCCTACACTAACATTCAATAAATTAAATACAGAAAACATGACACTGACATTCAGCAAGTAATGAAACACATTCAGTGGCCCCAAGAAGTAATTGGACATTTAAGCTAGACATGAAAATTATTAGAAATCAAAACATCAAACCAAGTGGCATTTATTTGAAGGAAATACAAGTTTAGGTTTTAAATAATAACTAGCCCTGCATCTTGGGGGGGAAAAAAATCTGCTGATTTGCAAAAAATGCCTCATACATGTGAAAACCAGCTGACGACTGAACAAATAGTTGAAAACTGGCTCAGAGGAAGATAGAAATCATGTTTTGTGGCAGTTTTTCTGGTAGTTAAAGGGTAATACAGGACTTCTTCACCTTACAAATGGTTGTCAAAAAAATGCTACAAAAAGCACATCACATTTTGTGAGAAAGTGTGATGTACTCGAGGAAAACAGGCACTATTTTGGGGTTCACCACCACAACTTAGTAAGCAACAAGTATTGGATTTCATTCAGCAAATATAAAATTGCTTAGAAAAGTAAGAAAAGCTCTGGCATCATTTGTTTGCAGATGGTTTATACATTTTTAGGTGCGACTTCGATGTCCAAATACTCTTTGGAGTCACTGTACATTCTTCCATTGTCACTGAGGGAGACAGGGGTTAGAACAGGGCTGTTCTGATCCCTCCAGTGTCACCCTACAGGTGAATTCAAAGATCATTGCCCTTTTCTTTAAACTAACCATCTCTTCTCTCTGTTCTTTCACTTCATATATTCTCCAGGACGTCACAGGGCACGAATCCTCTCTTTTTCCCGCTGGCTACTCTGATGAAGCCATTGTGTTCATCCTCACCGCTGACACAAATCTGAAAGTGTGTCGATACAGCAGCATTATCAAGCTGTTTGTGGTGAGAATCCAAGTTAGAAATTATTTGAGGCTACAGCAAGTGTACTCACTTGTCCCTCCTTCAGGGTGATCTGCCCTTGCTCCTTACAGCCAATAAAGGTCCGGTTACATCTGAACACCCTGTCGCCTGCCCTCACCTGATGCGCAAAGGATGCTGGGAAATAACCTATTCTATCTTCAATCACACCCTGGAATTGTTAGTAATATAAACAAGAACAAAACTTTAAACTCACAGACACTCATCTTAAAATATACTGTTGATTTTGCAATAATTTTGACATAAATGTTGGTCCGTTTCTCACACAAAGCATCATACGGCATCAAACTTGGTACTGAAATATAGCACAAATATAGTGTAAAATACATATAGACCACTTCATTTATTTTTTATGGCGCTTGTGTCCTTTTTAAGCTTGAAAGCTTAAGTCCTCATAAATTTGTAATTGCTTGGACAAGAGCATTGAAAATGGTTTTCACATTTTCTCCTCTTGACTCAACTATAAGAATTTCTGTGAATTCAATTTTGAAATTGAATTCACAATTGAAAGGAATTGAAAGGAACCAACCAAATATCAAGCTGGCCATGTATTGTTGTTGAACTGCATTACAAATAATACGTGACCCTGGACCACAAAACCAGTCATAAGAGTTCATTTTTCGAAATTGAGATTTGAACATCATCTAAAAGCTGAATAAATAAGCTTTACATTGATGTATGGTTTGCTAGGATATGACAATATTTGGCCGAGATACAACTATTTGAAAATCTGGAATCTGAGGGTGCAAAAAAATCAAAATATTGAGAAAATCGCCTTTAAAGTTGTCCAAATGAAGTTCTTAGCAATGCATATTACTAATGAAAAATTAAGTTTTAATATATTTACAGTAGGAAATTTACAAAATATCTTCATGGAACATGATCTTTACTTAATATCCTAATGATTTTTGGCATAAAAGAAAAATCAATAATTTTGACTCATACAATGTATTTTTGACTATTGCTACAAATATACCCCAGTGACTTCAGACTGGTTTTGTGGTCCAGGGTCACATATTATACTACTATAAAATTATGAAAACATAATGTACATTTATGTATTTCTTTTTATGTACTTGTAAATTACTATTTGTGAGCATCGTTGTTTTAAAATCATTAAATTAAGGCTGAAATACACTTTGCCCAGATTTTTACCCCGATTTACAGTCTAGAGGAGTCAATGCTAGTTGCTGAAAGTCGGAGCCAGTCTGCAGATTTTCTAGCTTCAGACTAATTCCCTTTTTCCGGGAGTTTGTTGTGTTCAGCATGACTTGAATATCTGGCAGTGTCGTTTAGTGTGTGATGCCCAGTTTTTCTCCGAAACATCAACATTCTCTAGTAAAATCTGTTCAGATTTATACATCGTGTAGTGTATTCCAGCCTTTAGTGATGCAGAACGTCACATTTGGAGAGAATCAAGGTTTAACCATTTAAGTCTTTTTTTTTCCATCAAACATTCTGCAAATCTGTAATAATCTTACCTTCCACCAGTCATCATTGGAATCATCTGCCAGGATTATTCGATCTCCGGGTCTGCAGGGAGAAAGGAAGGAACACATTAGGACAAATGAAGACATTACATCCCCTTTCAATAGTAGGAAATGAATTTTGGAATTAATTTATGGTTGAAAGCTTTGATGAGGCTGTTCTGAAATTTTGCGATAGCTTCATTCCATTACATGAGGCTGTATGAAACTGCACATGTAAGGGGATTCAAAGTCAACAGTACTCTGCAGTCTAAGCTTCCTGCTGAGGTTCTGAGAAACAGACCTGAACCAAAGGAAATAAAAAAGTGCTAAAGTGAGAATGACTGTAAAGAGAAATGTGGTGCAGTCAAATTCAGCCACAGCAGGGACAATAACACAGCGGTCACAATCAAAATACCAGACCAAGCTGAATTTAACCTCTGGGAAATCCACAGGTTTATGGACTTTTAACTTTATAATGCTGTACATTTATAGTCCATGTTCGGCCTGTTATGAATAACCTAACCAGCCTGCATTTACTGCAAGGAAGAGTTACACTGGTAAAATACAAACTGTGCACCATTCACTTTCATTCATTTATCATTATCTGTTATTTATAAGTATTTTTGCAAGCTCAAAGCCCAGTGTGATTGCACCTTAATCACAAGGTCAGCATCTATTTGAACAAACATGTATTTAATAGAAACAATATAAAAGCCATCTAAGTGAAAAATTGACAAGCTAAAACAAAACAAAAATTGCCTAATCAATATTCATGTTTATCCAAGAGTGTGCTTGTCAGTGTAGGTAAGCACACAGTATGTTTTCTGCATATTAAGTCAAATATTAGTATCTGAAAGTTGATATCACAAAATAGATAAAAAGGAATAAAACAGCAGCTTGTGTCTATTTTAAAAAGCTACAAAAGTCTTTCTTTATTCTTCTCACCTCATTTCTAGGTCTTGGTTGTCTTGGGGGGTAAATTCGAACAAAGCCACATAAGTATTGAGCTGCAGTGGGTCCCTCTTCAGCTCTCTGTTTGACTAGAGTTTAAACATAAAGGGACATAAACAAGCAGAGACTATTACAAATTACATCACAAATCAACAGAAATTATGCTGAAAATGTGTGCGGGGGAGAGCGGGGCTAGTTGTTACTCGCTTTACTCCAGTTAATATTTCTCAGTCTGATATAAAGATAAATACAAGCCTTTGTGTAAAAAATAGGAATCAGAATTAAATTCTGAGTTTGGAGAATTACTTTTGATTTTATTGCATGTTTCTGTTTTTTTTTTTTATGTAATGCAATTAAAAGGAAAATATTTAAAATAATAACATTATATATAGTTATAGTTAAATAAAGATTGATTCCACAATCCAAACATTACTGGGATTTAAATATTCTCTAAGGTGGGGGGTGTTACTTAAATTTGGACTTTTTCCACGAACTCCTGGGAAATTGTGAGTTCAAGCAGGCACACACACACACACACACACACACACACACTCAACTGGCCTAAGAATAGTTCAGATGTGATTAAATCCTGACTCAGAATCATGAGTGAATGAAGTGCATCTAGCTGCCGCATATCAATGTCAGAAAGAATCGACACAACACAATTAAAATTATGACTAAGGTTCATTATAAAAAGCATGATTTTCCTCTGGCCTGAAATATCATGACCTCTGTGTCTCAAGCACTGGTGCTACACAGCAGAAATCTTTGTCACTTTAACTTTGTGTTCAATGAACTGTACGGTGCAAAAGTTCAATAGCTTCTTGGTAGTAATGATTTTAAGGTATGTGCCTATACTGACTGACCCACAGACACATGAAGATGGCTTAATAACCATTATGAATCTTATAATAAAGTCTTTAAAGAGAGATGTAGTGATGCTTACAGGTGATTCTTCTGATTTCCTTTCAGCAATATGAAAATGTTCTGTTCCATTCTCCAGGGGCGTAAAAACTAAAACACACAACAAAAGAAAAATCAATGAGTAAAACCTGTTGATCATGAGCAAGCGAGTCATGGCAGAATAAACCTTGCTTGTTTTATTTTCATTGCACAATGTTAAATTAATGATGCAGTTGTAGTGGGTCATTGTTCCGAGTGGTGGACTGATTACCCAAAAATACCACAGTTCCTCGGTCATGCTGGCACCTATGTTTGACCAGAGAATAAATATCTGCCTCTCTTCCCAGTGCACACAGTCATGGGCACATGAATTCACTGAAGCTGGGGTCAGTCTGTGATGAACCGGAGGCCACGCTGATCAAGGCCATTCATCTCCCTGATACTATATCACAGTCCAGTACCAAGCTATCTAAAGCGTGATTGACTGTGAAAAATGGGTCTGATCAGAAGCTGGCAGTTTGGAGTTAAAAGGGGGATTGTGGGATAGATGATCAGATTCACATGAGCAGTTTCTGTTGGGTCATTTTTTTCATTGGCGGGTGATTTTAAGCATACTTCGACAATAAATAGTGCTTATAAATAAATAAATTTAATAAGAAAAATGTTGAATTTAATTATTGAAAATATAATTATTTTATCTTATGATTATTTTTTAAATTTGTAATTTCTATCCTTATTTAGGACTTCGATTCCTCAAGAATGCTCAAAAAAATATATATAGATTTTTTTATTTTTTACATAACATGAACAGGGATTTTTTTTTGTCACATGATAAATGATACACTTCATGTCTGCATGTTCTTACCGTTGTCACTGGGTTTCCTGGTGAGTTGAGCTCGACTGCTGTGGGCCGCCTTTTCTTCTGGTACCTGAACCACATCACTGGACTGAACAAGTGATAAAAACACATGAATTCTCTCACATACACATGTCCTAAGAAATGTCTTTGTCTGTTAAACATGACAAGATTCATGTTAACTGCTTATTCAGAGATTTACATCCATTAAGTAAGATACAAACTTATTTTTCTTTTGCAAATAATTTGATTTATTTAATCCTGGCTTCATTCTGTCATGCTGTATGCTCTGTCTGTTCTCTCTCTTTCGTCTTATTCTCTCCCTTTTTTGGTTATATTTGCTTTAGAGAGGCATTATCTGAAGCTGACCATCACTTCCTTCCAGGGTGCATGTGTGCCTGTGTTTGTTTCAAGCAGTAAAACATTATATATTAGATTCCCTTACAACCACAGTAACTGCACATTAGATGGTTTAAACATTCACATTCACACACAGACATGACAAACTTGAGTACAAAAAAAATGTAAACTTTGTATTAAAGTATTAAAATCGAGTATAAATGACAAGGACCAAATACGTTGCCACATAACATAATGATGACAATCCTATTTTATAACAGACTGCTGTTTACAGAAACTGCATCCCTATGATAATGCCTCTAATAGAAGAATAAAACTTCTTATGAAGAGAGGAAATAATGGACCTGAATTAAGACTCAAGCAGAGAGCATCTCAGGGACATTAAATTGAATCGTCTTAAGTGTTTTATTGAATTAATCATAATAATCATCACCATTTTTACCACAACCGCTTCACTCTCTGCACAAGCAGTCAAGTAGACACATTAAAATGCATTATCAATCTTTTTAAAAGCCTAAACTGAAGCAGATCGCCTGAACATAAATGGTTTACAATGTTTACTATGACCAGTCTCACACACACACACACACACGAGCATTACATCTATTCAAACTGTCATGTGCCCCTTCAGATAGAATTGTATGCAACTTCCAAAAAAAAGCATTATTTGAATATTTAAAAATTCAGTTCACGCAAATTTTTGTTTACAGCACTTTTTAAAATTATATTTTAAATATTTTATTTAGAAACACCAATTGGAATAATGCACTTTTTACTAGGACAAAAGACATGTCAAAATACTACAAAATATCAGTGAACAGGAATGATCAAGCTGGTGATGCTATGGTATATTGTGCAGAAGTAAAAAAAATTATAAAAATGAATGCCGAGTGTTGCTCACCAATAGGCATAACCTCCCTAATGCAGCCAAACTGTTCCTGAATCAGCAGAGGGGAGCTAGAATATCTCCGAAAACCTTTGGGCTGCAATCACACAAACAGGATCAGTAAATTTTATTATTTCATTAATCCACTTTTTTATACACAGAATTTGTTTTCATGGGCATGTTTTAACCTCAATGGGAGCATGTACAAAACAAATAAAAACACAATATCCATTTATGCTAAAAAATCAAATCAAAACCAAAAATCAAAAACAGCAGCTATTCTCAACCTGAACAATTTTGCCTGTTTATTATCATGAAATAAAACCAACATCAAACACAAATGTAAATGTAAACAGATCACAAGTTATCATAACACACTAACACATACCCAGGGCATTTTTGTTGCTTTCGGTGGCTCTTTATGCTTAAGATCTGGTTAATTTCTGCAACCGTCTTAGTTACCATGCTGAAATTTCAAGATGATTCCAAGTACTGAAACGAGTGAGAATCACACCTGACTCAATATCACATGGATTTTAATGTGCTTTTTTTGGGCCATAATTTCCTACAGAGTAGGAGAGTTTTGCCATTGTAACCCTGTTAATACAGAGATACAGTTTTTGAACTAATACATCAGAATCATTTCAAACTGGATGCTGCAGTTAATTGATTCAAAACTCTCATTTAATGATTCATTTGCATTATCACTCAAAAATGTCTATGAAAGTCTCTGCATGTATTAAAATGCTTATATAGTTTGCAAATATTGCTGTTTATTATGTGTTGTCATTAGGGCATATGAAGGAAAATAATTAAACATCACTCTTCATTGTGTTCATTTTGAAAAGAACTGTGTGGAAAAAAATGCCATGAATATGAAATTATGGTTTGGTTCCTGTGAGCTATTTAATAGCAAATACATATATTGAATATGTATCAGACACCATCAAACAACTGAAAAATACTGAGATATAAATTTATATATTTCTCAGCCCTAGTATATCCACAGATAAATGTCCCTAGTTGTGTTCTCACATAAGGGGTCCTGCTTTACTGCTACATTAGCTGCTGTATTACCAGTATATATTTGATTCATGTCTGGTAAAATTGCCGTTTTGTCGTGATCTAAAAGGTTAACAACACTTTAACGATTAATACAGTATCAGTCTGATCTTAATTTCCAATAAGACCATATAAATGACTGTTAATACGGCAAATGATTTTATACCTGTAAGATATATTTACACTGAGATTCAGTGGTTCAATCAATAAAAACAAGCTCCTAAGGCTTAATTAGCATCCAGTAGCACACACACACACACACACACACACAGCCCTAAAGAAGAAGCTGGGCTCACTATGCCCTTATTTGTATTTGTTGTGTTGAGTTCAGGGCAGGGTGTCTATGCAATCAGCATTACAAATCTGCTTTGAAGACTTCTTCGTTAGCAACGACTGGGGTTGGGAACTAATTTAAGTACCACTCGAACCCAGAGACAAGCTCTCTAGTGCTACTACGTCACATTTCTCCAAGAGCTCACTGGGGAAGCGTGTAAATAGACATGTTCAGTGCTGATTCTGAAGTAGATGCTAATAAATGCATTTAACAAAAGTGCACGGTGTCTGGAAGCACCTTAAAATACCGAAGTGACACAACCGAAAAACTTCCATGTGATTAATTTGCTTAATCAACTAAAAGAACAATAACAGCTACACCATGCAATGTTCAGTTGCACATAATGGGAGTTTTAATGGTTGACTAACAATCAGGACTCAGCTCATGTCATGCTGGTAGTAAAGCACTGTTCTCTGAAAAGCACTTGTAGCTCAAAGGTTCTCACTGATCAGACAAGCCAAGAGAAATAAACAGTTTAAAAATAGCAACTTGTCCACTTTAGAGCAAAAGTGGAATTAGAGCCGAATCCTGTGGGGAGTTGTTCTCCTTTTAATCCTGACCCCCCACAGCTATATTTTCCATCTGTGAGAGCCCACTACATCATCAGAAGACTTGCTGTCTCAACCCACCAAACAGTCTGACGCACAAGCACAGCATTTTTTTTTCCCACTTCCTGTGTTGATGATCTCATAGTATAGTACTAGATTTAAAAGTGCTGGGTTCTAAGAATAAAAAATGCTGGTCAAAGGCCATTCTACCCACAGTTCTGTTGTGTTTTTCTTTTAAAAGTTGATTTTGTGGTTTGGTGTTTTTGTGAACAGTTGCTGGGTTAATTATCAATCAACAATTATACTCATGTGATGTGCAAATGTGAAATGTTTTTATTTGTCTCATAATTCCTTTTAGAGAGCAGAATGGCTGAGATAATGCAGATACTGTGTATATAATACAATTTAAAGAGGTCATGAAATGGAAAATCAAAATGTCCTTGATATTTACATATACAGGTGCATCTCAATAAATTAGAATGTCGTGGAAAAGTTCATTTATTTCAGCAATTCAACTCAAATTGTGAAACTCGTGTATTAAATAAATTAAATGCACACAGACTGAAGTAGTTTAAGTCTTTGGTTCTTTTAATTGTGATGATTTTGGCTCACATTTAACAAAAACCCACCAATTCACTATCTCAACAAATTACATGCCATGCCGAATTGAGGCAGTAATTAAAGCAGAAGGAGACCCTACCAAGTTATTGAGTACATGTACAGTAAATGAGCATACTTTCCAGAAGGCCAACAATTCACCAAAAATGTTTTTTTTATTGTCTTATGAAGTATTCTAATTTGTTGAGATTTGGTGGGTTTTTGTTAAATGTGAGCCAAAATCATCACAATTAAAAGAAGCAAAGACTTAAACTACTTCAGTCTGTGTGCATTGAATTTATTTAATACACGAGTTTCACAATTTGAGTTGAATTACTGAAATAAATTAACTTTTCCACGACATTCTAATTTATTGAGATGCACCTGTATAAGAAGTTATTCCACAATAAAAACACAGTGCAGGTTTCATACCTCAAAGCAAACTCCCAGTTTAAACATTTGAATTTTTGTTTTCCATCCTTTTGAAATGCCATCATTTGAAATCACCCCATTCGTGACCTCACGATTTTCCTCTATACATCTTTTAACATGCAAATGAAGCTTAGAGGTGTTTACATGATAGATGCATCTTGATATTCCGTATCAACTATCCCATCTTTCTTCTCTCTCACTTTTTCCAGTGCACACCAGAGAATCATTAACATTCATACTTGCACACAAATTCACAGAAGGAAAAGATAGACTGATGAATCACACCTTCAAATCACCAAAAATAACACAGTGAAGAGTAACATATCTTAACACTCACACACTACAAATCTTCACCTACTGCCAGAAAGGAACACCAGGAAAGTGATACTGCGAATTTTATGTATGGACTTGGAAAAGTTTTCTTTACAACACTATCTCTTATGTCCTATCTTAATAAGTCTCTTCATACGATAAACAAACATTGGCCAACCTGATCAACAAATGAACAAACACTGAATACTTGTTTAGTTCCTCATTCAATTTCCAAGAGTAATCAAATACCAACAAAAATAAAGTGAGGGGAAAAACACTCCATTCACAAAGTAAAAAATATCTCACCAATTTCCCCATGCATCTCTGCTGTCCAACTCGATCCAGGCACTTGTTGTGGATGCCCATCTTGCAGGCTTTGCACCGGAGGCCCAGCTTAGCATTTGTGCCTAGCAGTTGAGGTCACATTCAGTTAATATCAGGTTTAAAAGTCTTCTGAGAGCAAAAGGTTATTTGTACAAAATGTTATATTACTGTTAAACAACAGAAAGTGATCAATAAATACACGTCAGAGTTGGAAATTCCCACATGTGCAGTTCTGCTGGGATTATTATCATCCACAATTATTTCTTAATTAGCAGTTTAACATGAAATTCCATATACACTTCTGTTGGAAAATCTTATTGAAGGGTTAAAATATTATAACACTCTTAAAAATAAAGTTTCCAAAAGCACACTTTTTTCTTAGTGTGACTTAGTTTTAGTTCTCTAAAGAATGTTTTCCCACTGAAAAGATCTTTTCGCGCAATGAAAAGGTTTCACGGATTTGGAAGGTTCTTCATGGAACCAAACATGCCAATGAAGAATTTATTTTTAAGAGTGTGGGGGTGCAGTTCTGCAAGTGTTCAGGTTGCTGGTCATCATTCTGGAGTACATTTCTTTTGCTTAAAAAGAAGATCCCTTATAAGTGGATCATCAAATTAGGACTTCACAGTCCTGGAAACACTTGCAGAATCCAAACGTATAGGTAGTACTGGAAACGGGAAAATGCAGGTGTTAATGCCAAGCTGAACAGAAGCAGCTGAAGACAAACGAGAGCAAAAAACAAATGTACAAGAAACCATCTAATATAACAGCACTCCGAATTCTCTAACAAGTATTTTAATCCTACTCTTATATTTGCTCATTTTCACAATTTGATATCACCACACCTGGTGCTCAGAACATGCATTCAGAGAAAGTTTTATTGATTCAGACACTTTATGGAAGGACTTGGAGGAAGGAAGAACAAAGGAAAAACTATAGAAGGAACCTATACATGTATGCTTAGCCTGATATCAATATTTGTACAAAACATTTGTGTTCGCTTGTAAGCAGAGAATGTAGATCTCCTCCACAGAAGTCACAATGTGCAAGCAGCAAAACTCTGAAGTTGTCCATAAAAATGCATACAAAATGTAAACAAAACAAATTCACCAAGGAAGAGCATGTTATAACATCCATTCTCTGTTTTTTCCAGTAACAATGTTCTTGTGCCAAAACAAATAATAATAAAAGCATTCTTTAATCCATAAATGCCTCAGACTCCTCCGATTATGATAACTCAGGGTGGTACAGATTTAAATATTAACTTTAAAATTGCATTTATTTCTTACAGATAGTTGTGAATGATTCATTATCCAAAATAATTAGCTTTTTCACCATGACAAATTATGCAACACTTTTTGATGCATGCTTCTTTGGATGATCTTTGGGTAATGAAGAATTAATCAGGCCTAATTGCATTCAGAAATTTAAAAAAACTGCCTCTGTGCAGGATAAACAAACAGATTTTGTTGTGGTGAGACAATAAATACTAATTGCTGAAATTATAGTGTGTTAAAGTCACCTTTCCAGCTGCTTCCCAAGAGCGAGCAGCACTTTATTGAGAATAAAGCCACCTATTGGTAAAAGCCTCCACTATATCTAAGCACACAAAACAGATATTTTCATTAACTTTAAACCACCAGAACAAAGTAAACCACCATTTACAGTATATAACAACAGCATGCATAGCAAAGCTCTGGAAAACAGCACACACAGAATAACATCATATTCCTGACAGTAATGAGAAACAACAGAAAAAAAAAAAAACTATCCCATCACGGAATAAGGGTATTGATATTGACCGGTCTGGAGAAAAATTCTATTAAGCATCGGTCTGGAAAACATATGAGGAACTACTTCATCATATGCATTTCCTGAGAGTGCTGAACAAGTCATTATGAGCGCAGAAGCAGGGAGATGGTGGGTTGGGGTTGGAGGTGGGTGAAGGGAGTTATCTATTTTCATTCGATTTCTAATTCATCTTCAAACAGAACAGACTTACCGAACACCTTGCCTGCTCCCCCTTGGCAAGCTAAAAAAATTACAGGAGAGAATCCCTATTGTATTACAATTATTCCTTATAATATAAAGATAAAATGGTGGTCAAACAAGGCAACATGGCATTAGTTACAGCTCATTCAAGGTTCGTAGATGTTGATTTTTCAAAACAAACCTGTATCTCTGAAAACTGCAATGCAATAGCCTTAAAATGATTGTTCACCCAAAAATGAAAATTGTCATCATTTGCACACCCTCATGTCATTCCTAAGCTGTATGACTTTCTTTTTAATCTGTGGAACACAAAAGAAGATATTTTGAAAAATGTCTTCAAAGTGGTTTTTTGTCCATTCAATGAAAGTCAATTTCATTGTATGGGGGAGAAAAAAAACAAAAAAACATTTTGAGAAATAGCTTCTTTCATGTTCTGCAGAAGAAAGAAAGAAAATTAGTAAATGATGACAGAATTTACATTTTTGGGTGAAATATCCTTTTAACTACACAAGATCAAAGAGTAGAAATGAATATATTTCCTCACTGACTTTAAGTTAAAATTTTGTTTTGAATAATAAAATATGAATGTGAAATGATTAATAGGGTGAAAACATCAGGTCCCGCTGTTGTGAGAATGACTGTCACAGGGCTCATTTGCCCCTGTCTGCTACAACAAGCTGCTTCCAGCCATCCATCAATTAATCAGACATCACATGCTCGGTCCAGGCTCTTTCATGCCTCCCTGTGCTGATCACTTCAGCCTTTGAAAAAAAAAAATCTTTAATGCATCTTTAATGTGTTTAATGATTGAGTATTTATGTGTTGAGTATTTTTTCTTGGGTTGAGTGGTGGTACTGGGCAGAACAATCATAATGAAATTCTTCCTATTATGAAAACAACATTTACTCACAGATCTAGTTCAGGCCAAGCTTCAGTAAAATGCCTGAAAGTAATATTAGAATATTTCGTCAAAGTCATAAAATGTTTGGTCTTCATTTTGGACTTGTGTGCCCTAAAAGAACAGAGGAAAATGATTTAATCTTTCAACAACACTTGAATGCAAGCTGCATGATATGTTATGTGGACTTAATTTCAGTGTTGTTAATGTCATCAGTTGCCCAATGGGATGGGAATCCACCCACACAGACAGCCAACCATATTCCCAATATGCTAAGCCTCCTTTTATACTTTGAAATACAGCATGGCTTCTGTGTCTTTAGAAATAGATGCCTCTGCTTTAGCCAAACATGAGAGAACATCAGCATGAAAAATGTGTTTCTCTCCGATCCTGAAAATGCTTTATAAATTGCTGACTGACATTTTGAAATGAGCTCAATATCAAGTATTAGTGATACAGAGCACACTTGTTACATTTTTGTTCTGAATGAAATGCACAGTCAGTTCATGGTCAGTAAACATCTTTACAGCTGCACAACTGACCATTAAAACATTTATAAAATTCTATAATTTTACCCACACAGCTAAGTGGGCGTTTCTTCCATTTTGGCCTTTTAGAAGAGACATTTTACACAGCCTCTCTAATTAATTTGTACACTGAAATTGTCTAACAGCAAAAAGACACGCAACCAAAAGAATGATGTCATTTTTGTAATCTTTGTAAAAATAATTTTACTTAATTTCAGCTTAACTGGAAATGATCCCCAATAAGAAAAATATTCGGTAAGTAACCAACTTAAATGAAACAAACTTTAGTAAAACTAAAAATAATAATTGTTGGTTGTAATGGTTGTGATTTTTTTTTTAAATGTATATAAATAATTTTCACAAAATAAATACTGAAATGGTTTAATGTTTATTTTAAATATATATTGATTTCTATTTTATGATGGATTTCCATAGTTTAAGATTAAAAGTCTGGGTCAAGAGACAAGGGTAAAACAAAAACTACACATAAAAGGTGAAAAATATTAAAAAGTTAAAAGTAAAAAATAAATAATCCAAAATAAATGGCATGATTAAAAAAGAAAACCTAAACTCTGGGTCATAAAAGTGGTCCAAGTTGAAGTAAGCAAGCAACCAAGTTAGTAAGTAAATAAGTAAATAAATCAATAAATATTAAATAAATATGCAAACTTTTAACCACAAATCTCCTTAACTCTGAACTGGAAACTAAACAACATAGCAACAGGTCAGATATCTGTATCTTTGGTTCAAATACCCCATTCACCGCACCACTGGCTATAACAAACGAGCATGGAAAACAAAGGCACGTGATGCTAAAAAACCCAGTTAATTCCGCCATCCTGATATCTGATCCAAATGCAGAGATTTGGGTCAACGACACATGGGCTCAATATTTAATCAACCTGTAGAGATTTGGGTCAAACACAAGTGAACAGGTATCTGATCTACCTGTGGAGATTTGGGTCACACACATACAGGTGTCCTGACATCCGATCCATATGCAGAGATTTCACGGTTTATTATTTAGTAATGACCCATTAGTCACAGCAGGAAATTGAGACTCGACACACACAAGCAGAAGAACTACAGCCTCAACTCACTATTTTTTCCAGACAGTTGGTAAGAGAGATCTCATAGAATTCACCTTCCTGCATGGCAGTAATCATAATGCTGTGGGATAATGAACCGACAGATCATTCCTCATCTAATGCTGCATAAAGCTCAGGTATCTCTACATTTAGTACAAAGCTTTGAAATGCAGGATTTGGCCTCTTGATGTCCTTTTCATGAGGATGTGCCAGGATCGGATCTGGAGCCCTGCCCTCATTAGTGTGCTCTTCTGAGGGAGTGTTAGTGAGGTAAAGAGATGAGGCCTGACAGATCCATATGCCAGCCACAACCAGACACACACTTGCCCTCACTCACACACACTGTATATTCACATACAAAAACACAAAACACTACCGAGTATTCCATGTATGTGTGTGTGTGTGTGTGTGTGTGTGTGTGTGTGTGCGTTCATCCTTGTGTTTTTCTTTTCAAACAGGTGGACATCTGGCCACCTTACCACACATACACAAATTGAATGCTGAGCCACAGCCTGGTTGCCTTCTAGGATAAACGTAAGAAAGTTATTTCCCTTAACCAGGAAATTAACGTTCTTAGAATTGACAGACAGTTGACCCTGAGAGGTCAAGTAAATATCTACAGCGGATCTAAATATTTATAATTAATTATAACTAGTTATGATTAATTATTCATATTTCCCCATGAATGAGCTGATTCGCTACACCACAAATACCCTAATGCGGACTTAGCTGATCACATTATGCTCTTAAACACCACACGTACTGCAAGTAGAGCTCTTTATCTTAAAACCACCTCACTGCTTCAAATTGAAGAATCAACTCATGATTTACATGATATAAAATCCAGTTTGGACAGATGACCTTCATGGGGACATCAATATGGGGCATGAAGCTTTCGATCGGCTGCAGTACACCTCAGTTTGATTTACTTCTGTCTGACTGGCCTTTCCAACAATAAAAATACATTTTGGTGAAAGGCTTTAAAAAAAAAAAAAAAAAGAAAAAGAAAAGCCAAACCTCATTTATCAAACATTTTCGAAAAATCAGGAAAGAGCTGAGAGGCTTAAAGATCCCATATAAAGTCACTTCTCTGTACTATTTTGATGCACTTATATTGAAACAGGACATGTGGGTGGGACTTGTCTTTTTTGTTTAAATGGCCACAGCCCTGAAGAAACATGTTTTGCTATAATTTTATTCTAACTCAGACAAAAACTTCTAAACAGCAGCATTCAAAAGGAGTCGTCAATATTTTTAAATCAATTTCCAAAGAATAAAAAAACCTTGGGGTAAGTAAGATTTTAAAAAACATATATTCAGCAAAGATGCATTAAATTGGTCAAAAGTGACAGTAAAGATGTTTTATACAAAAACATTAAGCAGCACAACTCTTTTCAACACTGATAATAATAATTAAAAAAAATTCTTTAGCACCATATCAGCATATTAGAATGATTTCTGAAGGATCATGTGACACTGAAGACTGGAGCAATGGCTGCTGAAATTCAACTTTGCCATCACAGGAATAAATTACATTTTAGAATATACTAAAATACAAAACAGTATTTTTATTGTACACATTACTATTTGTACTGTATTTTTAAACAAATAAATGCAGCCTTGGTGAGCATAAGAGCATTTCTATCAAAAAATATTTAAAAAAAATCTTACAGACCACAAATCAGTGAACAGTAGAGTATATGTGCCACGTTTGGTCAGCTTTCAGGAGTGCACTCACATATGACCTCAAATCTAATAGACATTGACTAACAGCCACAATACTTCGATTTTTATCTCATGGAGTCTTTAACTCATTACGTCGTGCCACTCTATCATTGTTCACCGCTCTCTAAATGGTCATATCATTGTGTTTTGGTGTCGTCCACAGTAACAAAACATTAGTGTCTGGTGGCCTGACAGCAGATGGGTAATAGAATATTTTAGATTAAGTGTTCAGTCATCTAATCTATAATCATTATGTTAGAGATCAAAATAGGCTCCTTTGTCTAAAACACAAACACAGCTTTGTTTGTGCGTTTCCTGTGTAATGAGATTGCAAAGCTGTCGTCAGTCACAAAGATAAAACACGTCCTCTTACCTACAATCATGTGGTTGCAGACATCACAAAAATGGGGCTTCTTGAAGATGTGCTCTAGAAAGGTGTGTGCGTTGGGGTCCGCCGGGCGGGGGGCGCGGGATGGAGAACAGATTGTGATGGGCAGGTTGCCCGGGATGATGGTGGGCAGTGGAGGGGGTGGTGGAGGAAGGGACATCGCTGGGGAGGCTGAGACAGACACACCGATGATGCTCAGATGACCTGTGCTGCTGCTGACATCCGAGAGCAGTTCGGTTTGAAACTTCACATCCTCGATGGGCCGTTGGAAAAAATTATCGGCACTTTTGCTGCGAAGACTCTTGGTCTTGAAGGACAGTGAACGCTTTAGCCTCTGCAGCTGAAATAAACATAAAACAGAGTACAAAATGCATCTATTACCATCTGATTTAGACAAATGCTCAACCCCATATGGCATAAAAAACAGCCCCCAGAGCATTAAACTCTGTGATTGGGTGATTTCTGATGCTTGGCAGGTGTCAAATGAGGGCATTCTCACTAAAACAACCTCCAGATGATTATACGATCTCTCCAGCCATCATATGTTAACCCAACTCAACAAGGCTAAAATTACAGATTATTTGTGTTCATCTAACTCACTAAGCATCAAAAGGCTTAATGAAAGAGAAAACGGAGAGAAAGATGGGCTGTCATGTCTCTTGGTACGTAACCTCTTTGTGCGGTGCACATTACCCATGATATCAGTCATACACTGACAGCCCTCTAAATTAGCTGACAACACCCACCAGGACCATCTTTGCCTACTAAAAATGTCCTCTAGGCCACAGCAACTTGCACTACTTCCCCAAGTACTGTGCACAGGAATGCTATTCAAATTTGAATAAAAATGAAAAGTGCCCATTACTAAAGATTAGACAAGGGTTGTCATGCACCTCAACAGACCACATATTTAGGATTGGGGAGAGCAAATATGTGACCCTGGACCACAAAACCAGTCATAAGTTGCACGGGTATATTTGTAACAATAGCCAACAATACATTGATTATATGGGTCAAAATTATAGATTTTTCTTTTATGCCAAAATCATTAGGATATTAAGTAAAGATCATGTTCCATGAAGATATTTTGTAAATTTCCTACCGTAAATATATCAAATTTATTATCATTAGTAATATGCATCGCTAAGGACTTCATTTGGACAACTTTAAAGACGATTTTCTCAATATTTAGATTTTTTTGCACCCTCAGATTCCAGATTTACAAATAGTTGTATCTCTCGGCCAAATTTTGTCCTTTCCTAACAAACCATACATCAATGGAAAGCTTATTTATTCAGCTTTCAGATGATGTTCAAATCTCAATTTCAAAAAATGGACCCTTATGACTGCTTTTGTGGTCCAGGGTCACATATAATAGTTTAAAACTCCTCCAGTGAAAAAAAATATATACTGGTCAACAGGGCCGTCCTTAGGGGGGTGCAAATGAGGGGCCTCCCCCCCTCCGGAATGCAATCGTGAATGGACCGAGGGGGACACCAAATCCCCCAACCGGAATGGGGACATGGTCCCTACATCGCACCGGGCCCCACGTCAGCTAAGGATGGCCCTGCTGGTCAACCACAAATCTAAAATTATGTTATTGTGTGCAGGATTCAAAGAGTAAGAATTTCTTATGATTTTCCGATTTTTACTTTGACAACATTTCCACTGCTCACCATACAAAGGAAAAACATTTTTCTATAAAATTTTATTATTGTGTGTGTGTGTGTGTGTGTGTGTGTGTGTGTGTATATGTGTATACTCAGGTGTGTGTGTGTGTGTGTGTGTGTGTGTGTATGTATATATATATATATGAAAATTAGTCCAATTATTTTATATCAGCAAAATATTTTATATGTGCCAAATATTTATAGTTTTTCCACAAATAAAATTACTTTTTAAAATAAAATACAAAAATCTATAAAATTAAGTAATAGCTGAAAATTATATTGCACTAATAGATAACTCCAAGACAGCTATGAATTCATAAACACACTTTAGCTGGAAAACAATGACAAAGCAAATTATTATATAATTGGTTTATAATTTTCAGCCCATGGTTACTGATCCTTTAAAGTCAACTTCTGGCTTCCATCAGAAAACCAACTGTTTAAGTTTGCAAGACATAAAAACACGTACAAGATAAACAAATGTAAGGTTTAGTGCCATTGCAGAACTGGCCTGATCATGCAAGTGACGGTTCGATTTGCTGGCCTAACAGCCTTTGGCTATCTTTCTGGTGGGGGCTCTATGTATGTATGTTTTTTTTTAGATGTATACGTGTGTGTGAGAGGGACATATTGCCCACTTGGACAATCTTCTCACATTATGTCTCCACCAATCAGAAAAGCGAATCAGTGCAATGTGTTTAGTGAGCTGCATGCTTGTGTATGATGATGACCTATTGATCTCTGATGGCCAGCAGAGAGTGGTTGATCAATTAGTCCCTCCCTCACCGCTCCTGTCCATCAGCGCTCATAGTTCACGGTCAATTTACAGACAAAGTCCCCTACAAGCAGCTCTTCCACCTGAAATCCCTGTAAATTACATCAAATGAGTTAAGTTGCAAATGCTGTTGGTTACAAAATGGTTTTAAGTATTTACTGACATTTACAAGGCACTTGCTTTGTGGCAGAACTAACTGTAAACAACAGGCCATCAACAAAAAACACTGCCTTAGTTCAAGTCTCACTATGCCTGGCAGTTACAATAAAATTAATCAAACAGGAACACACACAAAAAACAAACGCCTGAGACTACTGCTTGAACATGTACATGTCTGGGTTTTCATTTTGAGATTTTGAGGTCAGGTTCCTCACATATTAGAAATGAAGTAATATAACGGTCAATATATTCCCTTTTGCACAGATTAAAATTTATTAATGAGGGAAATATGACCTAAAATAAAAGACCAACCAGATAATTTAAAAGAAATTTCACATAGGATATGAAGGTTTGAATTAGAAATGCACTGAAAGTACCTCTTCCAAAAAATAATGACCAGTTCTGCCAGAAAATCTCTAATCTTATACATCTATTAGAAATAAATTCTGCTGCTGTCAGCACCAAATGTGTGTCCTGCTCTACCCTGAAGGACGACTCTGAGATATGGAGCTGATTAAGGTAGAAGTCAGGTATTTTTCAGCACAAGATTGCTGTCTTTAGAGGAAGAGGGACACATTTTATTAGGCCTGCTTTACTCGTAACACATTTTTATCTCAAACACAAATGAACACAAAGCAATCAGACAAAGTGGAGAACAGAAGCACTGACAGATTAAAATTCACTTTGGGTTTTAGTCATGAAAGGTGTTCCTGGATCAGTTGAAGGTGCCATGTGGTCATGAATATGTTAATTGGGACAGATATAGCCAGATCTTGGTTTAGTAATTTAGCTCTGAGATGCTTGATAGATTAGCAAATAAAATCCCTGATAAGGATGAAATTCTCTGAATACTGTGCCCAATTCTTCTCTAGAAGTAATATCTTCATTATTACTCTAGAAAAAGGTTCAAACAAGGGATGTAAAACCCTGCAGGATGGTTATGAATATATTTTTTCATTTTGCATTCATTTTTTAGCAGTCCATTTCATCCTTAGTTGGCATATTCTCGAGTGAATTCTGCAACTGACATCCAAAAGAACAGATTTGAAAACTAACCTTTGGTCAAATCAAATATAATGTGGTTTCAGATTCTTTCCATTTCAAAAAGAATTTTCCTTTTTCAAACAATAAAAAATTCTCTTAACTTATGATCTGATTAAAAACATTTCCACAGGGCTTCAGTAAATAACATCAAATTGTAAGTGATCCCACTGCTCAAAGTAACAGCTCTCAATTACACACAAATCCCTCAAGACGCCTCCAATGAGTGAAGGCAATATTTAACACCATAATGCCATGGATAATGTACAAATTTAAAACTTTCACACTCAGACACACACAGTTTGACTGAAACAGCATTTATGGGGAGGAGGGGAATGACACAAAGTAAATCTAAATAATGAATCAGTTTCTGAATAACTACATAAATAAATAAATAAATAAAGCACTACTATCTTGCAGCATTTGATCTCTTCTGATTTAAAGACAATAAATATACAAAATTCCCAACTGGCATTGAGCTCTAAAAGCACAGTGACCTGCCCAACATTTGAGGGCTGAATGTAGAACTCTGGGCCACAGATGACCCAGAAAAACAGATGAGCTCAAACTCAGCGCCAATGTGACAAAACACCACCCGCTACAACCTCACACATCAGATCTTAAATCATACACAACACATCACACATCAAGGTTGAACTGAAAAAAAAAAATTGTATCACATATTTAGTATCAATTTCACAAATGTCCCTTTGCAATGCTAACTTTAATTAGGACTCCTATGAGCCCTATAGTAAACAAACAACTTACTATAAAATTGCCAGTGTGGGGTTGTTTCTGAATTTGGATTATGTTGTGCACAATGTTACTGTTAGACATAAGCAACAGATGCTTTACAATTTAAAATGATCAAAGATCAATTGAGTCAAATATTTCATTTCACAGGACAGGTGAACACCTAACAAAACTGGACAGTTTGAGAGACAGAGGACTGCTGTTGTAATACATGGTGAGCTAAGAACACCATTTAGAAATAAGATACAAGTGTTCAAGTAGAAAATGACTCCGTGTGAAAATTGAAAAGGGTTTACATGACAAAAAATGAGGTAGCCTAAGAAAGTAAAATTTCACCCATGTCTTAAAATGTCATGTTAGAGAATTTTAAATGACAGAATTGGTACCATCTGAACCATCTGTTGTTTTTGTTAGCCTATTGTTTTATATAGGCCCATTTATATTTGTTTACTATCTAATTCGCTATTTTGCTTTAATAAATTAAAATGTTACTTGTTCACCATTTTGAAATAAATTACTTTAAATAAAACAAGGGTGAGCAAGTTGATGGGGTGGCATAACAATTATTTGAACAAGTAAATCTGTTTAGCCTACCATAATAAATTCATGCACTAAATGTAAAACGCCCGTTTACAATTACTGTTAGCACGCCCCTCAGTAATGTTACACCATTTGTAACAGCGTCACTCTTTGTATTTGACGAACACACTTCACACTTTACACGACGGTAAGTGATAGCCTACAACTACTTTAATTTGCAGCAGATGAGTAAATTTATATTATATCAAAGTTTGAGACATACAGCGGCAAAAACAGACGCTAAAACATGTCACAACGCTCCGCGGTCTCTGTAACAGTAAAAGTGGGAAAGGACGCGTGAACTGCGCACTATATAAATCTCTGTCGGTTTGCTGTGTTTTTTTTTTGTTTTTTTTTAATGAGATGTGAGTTTCAAACCTTGGACTCCTGCTGGCTGATGGATGTGGGTGACTGGGGCTCACGGTGGTCCCGTTCGTTCTCCTTGCCCATCGTGTCCTCCTGAATCATGTTCGCTGGCGGAATCATGTTGATAACAGTTAAACCGCACCAGTCTGTCGGGTACGTCTGGGCACCAGCCGCGCTCTACATGTTGCGCTGAGCTGGAAGTTCTAAACTGCCGGATGCGCTGCGAATAAATGGTCTACAATATCGCACTGGTCTATCGACTTTCCATCAGTTTGTACATTGCATAGTAGAGACGCAGTCCACTCGAGATGAACTCACTTCATTAGAGTCAGTACCGTCCAGCAGACTGACTATATCTGACTGTCAGACTGTGGATCAGCCAATCAGACTCCGCTATAGGAGGAGTTTAGATCTGATTAATTCCCATCCTTTTTTAAATGGATCCAGTTTTGATTTTCAGTGATCAGACTGGCTGTTGTCACCTCTATTCTTATTCTTCACATTCATCCTATAAATGTGAATCTAAAAATAATAGTGTTAATGGTTAGTGCTACTGTTTTTTTTTTTTCTATTTCTGGATTGAATTGTATCTAGAGTGCAATTTATAGGGGGTTTGGGGAGGATCTGACTCCCAATTAAGGTTTACATTTTTAAGAAATTCTAAACAAAAGCTTGTGAGTGTCAAAAGATGTATTCTTAAGCTTGGGTGTGTCAAAAAGATGTATTCTTTTTACATATGTAGGCTTATAAGTGCATAGTATACAGTGTGTCATTTGGGATGCACCTTTCGATTGCAAGTTTATTCAGAGTGAGGTCAATTGAGAATTATAAAACGGATAGTTCCGGTCCTTGATTCTGATTGGTTGAGCCGCGTTCAAAGCTGTTGTAAATTACTCTACAAACATACACCTTTGTTTACTTCTGTGTGTTGCTTGGCAACCACTTTGTTGGAACCACAACTGTTTTTGAGGAACTACATTGTTTGGTGGAAGAATACTGTTTTTATTTATATCATTACACTTTATTTGCTCTGTTTTATTCTGTGAAACCTTACTACGTATATGGAATAACCATTTTATAAAAGCAATAAGCCCCGTGAAGCCATGATTTACAGTGAATTTATAACAGCTAAGGGGGTTTAACAACGCCCCTTAGCTGTTATAAATTCACTGTAAACCATGGCTTCTTGGGGCTTATTGCTTTATTTGCGTTCGCCTACGGCGGTAACCATTGCAACAGTAACAGTTAGTCCGCTAGAGCGCTTTGCGTTACAACAATAAAAAATATATGCATTCAATGGACATACGACCGTGGAGTAGTGTATCTGTGTATTGATGGAACTCTCAACTTCTCGTATACATGGATCTAATGTGAAAACTGTACATTTATGGCATTCTGCTTTTAATTGGTAAATTGGCCACAGAGCCTGCTCAGAGCAGCCTTAACTCTGCTGTGTAAACACACCAGATGCAACAGTTTGGAGCATCCAGGAGTTTTGTATATTGTAAATATCTTTTAAAACACACCACATTCTGTTTTGTCAAGGTTGTTGGTCTGATTAATTCCCATCATTATTTAATTAGTCTCACCATATGTGAGAGATTCTTCTACATCAATATCCTATGAGCTGTTGGATCCAGGGCTCACAAACATTCTGCCGTTTTCATGCATTCTAGAAATCTCCTGTGTCAAATCCAGTTAATCCCATCATTTATTTTCACAGATTTGGCGAAAAAATAAGCAAGAATGACCAATGTAATGTATTACAGTGACATCCGATGTAGAAAAAAATATATATCCTTCAGTTGTGATGGCAACAGATGGCATCTCATTTATATGAGAGAAAAAATATGAGAGCAGTGGAAGAGAGCGAGAAAGGGCTGTAATTTTCACCCCCAGCTGCAGAAGAGGAGTGAAGGCCACGGGAAAGGAAAGCAGGGTCTTAATTATGGAGGACAGAAGGGTTTTACTCTATTAGTTAGTTCAAGATCTCGCACAGTGACACCAGTATTTACCAGCATCATCTTCTCCTGGAAATTTCAAGTGTAATCTGTCTTAATCTGACTGCTGTTAAATCTCAAATATCTTAATAGGCCACATATGCCAGACACATTTTTATAAGCTGATTTGCAATAAAAGTAACAAGGTTGCGAGTTTATCTCAATCAAGAGGACGGTTAAATTATCGTTGTACTTGGCTCAGTACAACCATAGCATGGTCAATGAATGGTAATGGTCATGAATGTCATGAATATTTGTATTTGAGTATTTTTATGTAAGTTAATTAGTTTAGTCCTTCATAGGTTTTGCCAATCACAGCAAGGTCAGATCAATTCTAGAATAATAAACCCATTTTAGACGGAGGAAATCTAGCACTTCTTCAATCATTTCTCAATCAAACATTACTCAGAGAATCATGATGTACTTTTCAGACTAATGAATCACATCAGCTGTGAACACGCTTCAGTCTCTCTTTCAGCAAATTTCTCCTCGGTCTAAAATACATGTTTCATCTGTTGGTTACAATATGACATGAAATCACTGCTCAGACATTTTCCCCAGTGATGAGTCTATACAAACAAAGTGATCAGAGACTGATTTGGCATTGCTTTGAAAATTAAATGGCTTAGAATCAATCAGATATCCAAGCATAAATAACTGCTTTTTGATCTATACACTTCCTACTGAGCGATTACCTTAAAATAGTGTTGATCTGGCTCTAAATATAACTATGGTTCCCGTTACATATGGATTCAACAATATATTTTCTTGTCATCTGTTTTACTTCTGATCCCTGCTAAGTTTAGCATCTGAATAATGGACTGAGGTAATTGCACTCGCTGCTTGTTTGTCAGATGACTCAACATAAACAGAGAGAGAGAGAGACAAACAGATAGACTGAATCCACTACGACACTGAATATTTAATGGAATCCCACATAAGGTGTGACAGCATAAAACAGGAGATGATCTGTACAGTAGCTCAATAGTCTGATGAGTACAGTATCTTCATGTTCTGATCTGTTATCCTAATGATCTGATCACACTCTTGAATATCGTACTTGATGTTCCTCATCCTCAAATCAGTTTAATGTGACGTACAAAATTATGGTCATTTAATTGGATTTCATGCCAGTTCAGTGCACAGCCTCATTGAACAGTAACTCTCCCTCCATCTACTGTTGAAACAAAGACAGAGGGAAATCTTAAAGTCTCAGTGTAAGAGTGTGATGAAACTGCTTTCGGGATTTTCCATCTGTTCAGTTCAAAGCTCCACATGAATCATGGAGTCACAAACATTTCTTAAAATGCCTTCAAGGGAAAACACACACACACACAATACACATACACCTCTGCAAGTAATGACATTTTACTCTAATCGTTTTCACCAGGGCTGAGAGATAAACAGGTCGCCATGCTCCAGTTCTAAACACTTCTGGATGAAACTATATCAAAGCAGAGAGCAGAAACTAAGACATTTTAAGCTAAACTTTCAAATATTAAACGCCACACGCATATCCAGATGCCAGCAGAGCACAAAAATGCTAATTCTGTGTGCAACCGTTTGATATAGTTTTATGAAGGTAAACATAAGGGTAAAAAACTATTTTAAAAAAGAACAAAATTTGAAGATCCAGTTAGAAAAATACTGCCAAAACAACAGCTGCTCAGCCACAAACATCTCTACAACACAAGCCCAATACACAATCCAACGGCCTCAGTGCACAATGCAATTCCATTGAACAATAAAAACCTTAATAAACAACAAAACATCCCCGACACACAGTTAAAGAAGCTGAACACACAATACAACAACCCCAACACACCATATCCTCTAAAGCAGGTGAAGGTCTATCCTGTGCGTAGATGAGATCGTCAAATGAGAAAGACAGTTAGAAGACAGAGCAGATATTACTGGCTCCACCAGAGGGTGCTAGTTCGGTGGACTCATTGACCCACGACAGTGTAAGAGACAAAATAGTCAAAAGGTTTGTTGATTTGATGGACCATACAGTGATTCCTTTCTGCAATTGTCAAAAATTCCCTAGCATAAATTACTGTTTTTGGAGATTAAATATGAACCCAAAACAAGACGCCCACACAGTGAACAGGGTCCTCTAGTACCAGGGGGGGGGGGTCTTCTTTTTTGGGCAGGTTAATATCTATATGTTTTCAGATTGCTTGCATATACATGTGGGCTTGTGATGTTTGTGCCCTGGGCCTTACATATTGGAGCTACAATAGAGTGCAACAGTCAGGTTTAGAAGTAAGAAAATCACATTCATGCCATTCAATCTCCCTACGCTACTTAAATTTTTGTATATGTATGCATATTTAGTAATAAATGTAAAATATATTGTTTCTATATATAATCAACATCTTTAAATTAATAGTTTTATATTTCCCCCTTGCTTTTAATTTGATTGTCATTCACAATGCTTCATGGGATTGTAGTTACTTCCCTCATCAAAGCTGTTAAGTACACAGTCTTGTACCTTTGTCTTTAATGTCAGATTTTCAAAAAAAAAAAATTTTTTGCATCAAATCAACGTTTGTAATGTTGTGATTCACTTCATAGCTGGTTGATTTGCTTCATGACTGATAACCCTTAAAAATAAGACTTTTTTAAAATCACTGTGGGAAAAATGAATGGGGCAAAATACTTATGTAAATGAAAATACTATGTCATTTAGTTTAGTTTTTAAATTGTTCATAATTTACATCAAGTCTTTAAGCTGTCATCTTAGTAGCTCAACTTTAATAGTAAAAATGAATCTATGATCTGCTGAACCTGGAAGTGCATATGTTTGTCTCTCAACTGTTTTGTCATTTGTATCATCAAAGCACCTTAATGAAGCACATAATTTCCTGTTCGGTGCATTGAGTTGCAGGGAGTGAAGAATGATATTTCCTCCCGTCTGGGGAGCGTGAGCGGTACTCTGACGCACAATGAACCCCTAAGACCGCTCTGCTTGTTCAGGCCATCGCTAATGAGACTGGAGCTAAAAACAGCTGTGTGTCTACCAGAGGGACATCCTTTCTGTCACACACATATGTTCTTGGCAGAGGCTTATTCACAAACTTGCATCCATGCACATATGCAACAGCTTGCAACCACCTGTGCAGTTCGGGTTGCTTTTAACCCACAGTGCACTTTAGCCTTTAGAAACAAGCTACACTCTGATAGTTGGGATCCCCCAGGAGCGGTTTAGTGTATTCTGACTTGTTAATACATTTATTTTGTGTATTGTTATCTAATATGCCTCTAAAAGGCATGGGCTAATACGTCAGAATCCAACAGGTCCCTAGACTGACTGTAAGATCGTTCTGTTTTGTTA